TAAAATGTATTGTTGTGTAATATAATAAAATAAAAAAATAAATAAAGATATTACATTGAGGATCATGGTGCAACCCCATGTTCAAAGATCACAATTCTAGCATAAATATTTTTGGAATTGTGTCTGGCTATAGAAGGTGTTCTATATCAACAACATAAATGACAGGATGTAAACATATGGAGGTGGCATGTCACCTGCATGATTCCATGGAAATAGAATCTTTAGGCCATACTGTGGAGGATTAGAGCTAAAGAAACATCACTTCCAGGGAAACAAGCAGCAGACAGTCCAAGAGTTAGGTTTGTGGAGATGCAAGCCCTTTCACAGTAGGGAAGTTTTTCAACGCAATAAACACAACCAAAAATAGAAGTGCATTTAATGGCTTTAAAATGGGAAGAGAAACACACAATATAGGGTCATTCAGTCTTAATTCTAATTTCAAGGTACAAAGGTGCAATGTACCAAAACTCAGAAATGATTCTTTTTATACAGTGACCTCATATACTTGCCCTAATGCAGAGTGTTTGAAGTGCAGTCTTTAACCCTATAGCCCCTCAGGTACGCTTCCTGTCTGCCCTTGAAGATGCTTGGTAGAAAGGTTTCAATAATGACATGGCTGCACCGCGGCAGGTCCCCAAATGAAAAAGGCTGTCATGTGTAATTGGTGTGTGTGGCATTGTGCCGAGCCACTGGGACCTGGGAGTAAATACAAGCTGACAGTGTGAAAAAAGGGAGAGAAAACGCTCTTTTGATCCCGTATTCATTCCTCCCCAGTCACTGATAAGGCCGCTGTGGTGTGCGATGGAACGACGATTTCCCCAATGGAGTACAAGGGTTACTGTATAGTATGTCAATAAAGCAAAAAAGCAGGCGAGATAAAATGAAAAAAGACAGCAATTTTCTTGAATTGAAGATGTTACTTTAGCTTGAATGGAAAAAATATTTGAGTAGATACACGGGAAAAGTAATAACTCAATGAATTGCTCAAGTTTAAAAAAATGTTGAATGACTACAATACTATACAAAAATATGATTACTCCAAACTATTACAATCAATAAATATATGCATGTATAAGTATATGTAGGTGAATAATGAATATATTTGTATTCAGAAAAACAAAAACGTTAATTCATAATTGTACTAACAAATAGTAATAATGAGACATTTTAGTTACAAAGCACTTTTCAGTACTCTCAAAGACTAGAAGTAATATAAAAGTAAGTAATACTCACTTAGCAAGTAATATAAACATTTAATAAATAAATAACAACCCAAATACGATCAAATAATATAAGTACCACTCTTTTGAGATACACCGGGAGGTGGCTTGAGTGTTTAAAAATGTGCAAACAGTTTTGTGTGAATTAAAGTGAGAGGAGGAGAAGACAGAGGACAAGACAGAGGAGAGGGGAAGCTCAGAGATAGCTGTTCATTCAAGCATAATTCCATTACGCTCAGTGACTGCTGCGAAGAGGACCCATTAGAGGTGTAATCAGAAAGGATGGATAAGAACAGGGAAGAACATAGAGAGAGCGGGGGATACACACGCTGAAGGAGTCTGATTGAGCCATACCCGTGACCTATGACCTCACAGCGCACAGAGACAAAGAGTATAAAATGACACCTGTATGAAAGAGGATCATATCAGTGGACCCAAGGATTTTGTTCCAATCTTTTTTTTTTTTTGTGATTGTGATTTGACTGAGTTTATAGTACGCTGTTATAATAGTATTTACCATTATTGTCACTATATCTATTTTTTGCAGCTTTAAAGGTAGGGTATGTTGGATTATTTCACTATGGTGTTAGTTGTAAGATCTGCCAATCAAAGGTTAGGAACTTCTTATTGGAAAATCAACTGGAGAACCAAAATACAACAGGCTAACTTAAACGATTTGACATGTATGACTTGATTCTGTAATTAGGAGCACAATGGTTATCAGTAAAATATGTATTGGATTTAAATATTTATGTCATATACACAGAAAGGTCATGTTTGTTAATCTTACATAACTTAAAATTAACTGAGTTTCACATATTGAATACATAACTGCCAGTGTTGGGAGTAATGTATTATAAAAGTAATGTATTACAGTAATGCGTTGATTTTTGCTGTAACGCAGTAATGTAAGGCATTACAGGGGGGAAAATTTTAATACTTTACTCGGTACAAATGTGAGTAACGCGCGTTACAATGCTTTTTTAACCTGGATTGAAGTGGTGGGTTTTTCTTCATAGAAATTCGCTAAAATCACCGTGAAATCAGCAGCGGTGAAACGCCGGAGACGCGGCCGGATAGACCTTCAGTTAACCGCGGGTGAAAGGACCGACCCAGAACTCTACGCTGTTTAGACCTGGTTTAGACCTGGTTTAGACCTGGGTCACTTCTGGTTTAGACCTGGCTTACAGTCGTCCCTCGCTCTAACGCGATTCACTTTTCGCGGTCTCATTGTTTCGCAGATTTTTAGATTTTTTTTGTGTGTGCAATTTTGCATGCCTTTTGTTTTTAGTGTATGAACACGTATTGCGTTCCTCCCGCTGTGTCCTGATCGGCTAAGGGACTCCTGTCTCCTGAACAGTACAGTACAGAATATGTTCAGCTGCCAAATTTAAATAAATGTTCAATCTCTAGCAGTTTGCTTCTGAAGTGCTGTATGTCTGCAAGTTTTCTCTCCGACAAAATCCACAACGTCGACGAAATGTTCTGCACCGACAGAGTCTCCTGCGCTCACACCCAAAAGGCAGAGGAAGATGCAAACCATCACACAAAAAGTTGGACTTCTGGACACGTTGAAGGAAGGTAGAAGTTACGCGCTGTAGCAGAGTCTTGCACCGGGTCTTGTACCCGCAAATAGTTGCTGAAATCAGGACCGTGAGCCCGCGCAGCAGGGTCCATAAAGCGCGATCGGGCGACAGCCGCTCTTACCTCCATGAGGTGCGGAGCAAAGCCGCTCCTTTCTCCTGCGGTCACCTTCGAGCCCATCCTGACAGTGAGTCCTGTTTTAGTCCTAGTTCAGTTCTGGTTTAGTCCTCCTCTTCAGTCCTGGAATCAGTCTGAGGTTAGTCCTGTTATAGTCCTGGTTTAGTCCTGGTTCAGCTCTGGTTTAGTCCTGGTTTAGACCTTGTTTAGTCCTGGTTCAGTCCATATACGGCTCAAAAGTTCAGCTTTTTCGCTGTTACTTTGGTGAGAGTAACTTAAAGTAATGCAATAGTAATGTAATGCCTTACATTTTAAATGCAGTAATATTGTAATGTAACAAATTACTTTGAAATGACAGTAATAAGTAATAATAACGCATTACAGTTTTAAAGTAACTTGCCCAACAGTGATAACTGCTGTCTGTCATTATACTGTTCATATGTGTATAGACTGACTGGCTCAACACAAACTATCTTCCCTCACAAAATAAGATTTTAACTATATACCCACAGATCAGATTTGTGACTTAATTGGCCTGGTGTTGTCAACTGCTTGTCTTCATGATGATAAATAGATGTGTCCAAATGTTGGTTTAATCATTTCCTTTACTTAGCAGTCAAATTTCTACATAACTTTAGCAAATGACTTCATTTGACTTCCTTCCATCAAATTGTATTATTCTCCGGTTTCTCACTATTTGAACAAAACTTCTTAAAATGCCATCGGGGTATCTGCTGAACAACAACCCTTATATTGTACAAACACTGGAGAGCTGGTTCAAGGGAAGAAAGAGGTATGTTAAAAGCAATCAATGGAAACTTGGTAGCCCCCTCTGGTTCTATATGTCTCAGCTCTATATTTTCTCTCAGACATGGTACTGAATTTCAACTGCAGTTGGAGAGGCATGAGCCAGCCCAGAGTGCTTCTAGAGAGGCCTTGTGCTCAAGATTCAAGCAATAGTTTACTTGGCAGTGATTGGCACTTGATTGCAGTCATCAAGAGACCCCCTTGGATAAAGTGTTGTAACTGCTTAAGTTTTCTTGGCTGAAAACGTTGCTGTAAATCTTGTAAAGGTCCTGCATTATATATATTTTAGTATGATGGCTAGAAATGCAGCAATGAAAATACCTGCTAAGACTGGTAACCATAGTTAAAATTCTTTACATGCTAGTTTAAATGAAGTCAACTCTATCATGATAAACAACGTTCTAATTGGCACAGTGGGGTGAATCTGTGAAATCTACAGAAATTTCCGGACTATTGAGCGCACCTGAATATAAGCCGCATCAATAAAATTTTAAGAAAATTTAAAAATTGTAATTGCACCTGAATGTAAGCTGCTGGTGTCCACATCTTCAAGAATGTTTTCAAGTTCAGGCCGTCTGCTTTTATTGCCTCTGAAAGCTTTTGTTGTCCTTTTGGATTGAGTCAGTTTGTCATGCTGCTGTCTCAAACGTCTCACCATCGCCTCATTGATGCCAAGCCGTGCAGCAGATCTATTTCCTTTTTCGACAGCCAGATCAATTGCTGTTAACTTAAAACCTGCATCATCTGCATTTCTTCGTGTATTTTCCATGAGGAGGGTGTGTGCACGAAGCGCAAAATAACTGTTCAAAACACAATTAAACTTCCTCAGCACATCACCCCATCTCTCCGCGCACTCTACGGCGCATGACTCCTGCAGAAACAGGCGCTGTCCTGTCTTGTCTTCATGTCAGTCTCTTGTAGGATTATGTGGCCAAGGGAAAATTTAATTTGTCAGCTGGATAAAAGCAGGTTTTTTTTTTTGTTGTTGTTGTTGTTGTTTTTTGATTGAATACGTTTTGCAGCTCATCCAAGCTGCTTCTTCAGTTTGGTCAGATTGCTGGTGGAGACTGCCTTATGTATATGCTTGAAGGGAGGAGCTAACTACATTCAAACTACTCTGAAATTACACACCTCCTTATTTACAGTTTCTGTTTGTTAGCTAGGTCTATTGAACTGCACTAAGCAGGGACTGTGCCTGGGTTATATTAGTATAATTACTTGGTTTTCTCAGATTGTGCAGTAACGATAAAAGAAGACCGGAAACTCCAAATAGAGGTCTTCAGGAAGCCTAAACATACTGACGAATATCTGCTTTTTGATTCACACACTCTTGTACATTATGTGCAGAAGCCCTCTCTGTTTGTGGATATCCAAAATGGGCTTTCGATAGAACAAAGAGAGCTAAAAAACAGGACAACAGAGAATCAGAACCCAGGAGAGAGGGTGTAACTATTCTTTACATGGCTGCTGTCTACAGAGGATTTTCAGACATGAAATCCAAGTCTTTTTCAAACCTACGTACAAACATGTTAAGACAGAAACACAAACAAAACAGCCACTTCATAAGAGGATGTACCAACACAGACAAGAGAGCAATAGTGGACCTCAGTCTGCCGTACATCTCCACCTAAAAGCCACAGGTCACTCCTTTGAGGACAGTGACGTACAGATCTTAGCCACAGAAAAGAAATGGTTTGAGAGGGGAGTTAAAGAGGCAATTTTTGTTAGGAAAGACAATCCTTCCTTGAACAGAAATGGAGGGCTCAGGCATAATCTGTCTCCCATTTACAACTCCAGCTTCAGGCCTAAATCAAAACAAAGAAAACAATAGGGATAGCCAGGTCAGGCTCAGAGGTGTGAAAGCACCCATCAGGGGCCTGAATATGACTCAGGCACAGTCTCCACTTAGTGCAGTTCAATATACCTAACTTACAAACAGAAACTATAAACAAGGAGGTGTGTTAGATTCTGAGTAGTTTCAATGTAGTTAGAGCCTCCCTTCAGGCAGATATAAGGCAGTGTCCACCAGCAATCTGACCAAAACTGAAGAAACAGCTTGTGCTCTGTGAAAAGGATTAGAGGAAGAAAAAAAACAAAACTAAACTTTATTTCTCTTTTGAGAAATTCAGCTTAAGTATTTGTAAAAAGGCAGTTTAGCAATATGTGCAGTCTATGTTAAAATAGTAAATTATACCCAGGGCATTTGTTTTTGTTTGGTTTATAGACTCGTAAAAAGTGTTGGCTCCAGCTTGGTGAGGTGGACTGAATTTGAGTCTAATGGTGAAGTTTTTGTTGGGGTATACAAACATCAATAACGATGAGTCATTGACAGCTGGCAGCCCAAACATGAACAAAATGGTACTGGGGCACTGCGGCTAGTGTTACTCCCTCCTGTGCTCCTCTCCAGACGGAATCATTTGGCTGTAATCCACCACTCCCGGGCAGCCGCCTTATCCTCGCCGATTGATGACTTCTGCCATGTCTAATCACATTTGCAAAGAATCGCTCTTACGAAGTGCATCTGAAGTGCCAAGCAATTACTCTGATACCTTTGGCTTGACAAGTGGAGGTAAAAAGTACACAAATAAATCAATTGATCGCTAATGGGATATAATTCATTTACATCCATGTTCCATTTGAAACATTTTAAATCAACTCTTAAGCTCCTCAATTTAAATGTTTCTTAAGATCAACTAATAAACTAACTAAAAATGTGGACAAAAAATAAAAACGTGTTTTGTCCAGTTTGGGTGTTTTTATTGCATTGAAATAACAATGTATGCTGTGAGCAGGTTTGCATTTCCACAAAACCGACTCCTCCGGCTTGTCTCCATGGAAAATTTCCTTTGCAATATTCCACAGTATCCCATATAATGTATATATGTCAATGAAGAATGTCTAGTTTTAACACACACAATGTTGCCTCTATGTTTTTTTTTGTTTGTTTTTTGCATGCATGCATGTTATTTTCCTCCTCATAATATCTGCATGGTGTATTGGTAAGTATTTCTGTCCATTAAGTAGCAGATTGTCCCGTACCTCTGAAGCGTCTTGCAGTTGATGAGCCCGTGACCCTGTAGCCGTGGAGTCCCAACCACAGCACACACAGCTTATTTCA